GCTTCCCGTCAGCGGTTTTCAGCAAATGTTAGCAGGGCAAGAGCCTTTGCTCTCAATATCAGATGTATGTACTTTGACTATTCTCTCCAAGTCTGTGGCTTGATGGAGGCTTTTGACAAACAGAAGTTGTTAATTTTAAAGGAACTCAATTTGTCTTTTTTTTTTTTTTGGCTATTTCTTTTTGTCTTCTGCTTAGGAAATCTTTGCTTACCCAACGATTTTGAAAAATAGTTCCTTATACTTTCTTCTAAAAGCTTTATTGTTTTGACTTTCATACGAAATTTATGATGCATCTTGTATTTTTTTAAAGTATGGAACGCTTCACAAGTTTGCATGTCATCCTTGCGCAGGACCCATGCTGATCTTATCTGTATTGTCCCAATTTTAGTATATGTGCTGTCGAAGTGAGCACATCTTGTATTAATTTTGGAAAACTGTGTGAGGGGCTTAAGGTTCATATTTTTCCCCTATATGGATGTCTAATTGGTCCAGATCATTTATAGAAAAGACCATGCTTTCCCCACTGAACCCTGCAGTGTCAACTTTGATGTAAATCAAGTGACTGTATATGTGGAGGTGTTATGGTACGGAGTGCGAGAAAGACCACCTTGAGGCCGAATGAGCCAAATTGTGAGTCTTTATTAGCTGGCCAGCGACTACCCTCTGTACCACCACAGACGGCTGCACAGAGAGCAGTCCAGAACCGAAAAGGCGAGAAGACTTTATACTAATTGGGAGGGGGGCTACGTGACATTAAACATGACATAGTGGAAAAAATAATTACATCATACAGTCCATAGCCGCGGGGTCTGGGACCTGCCTCAGACCACCTGCCTGGCCTCGGGACTGATTACAATCTTTGAGCAAACAAGGTTACAGAAGCAGATAGCATCAGTTAAGGCAGGGAGCATTCTTTCTTGGGGAGGCAAGTACAGTAAATTTGACTGCAGACAGCCGGGGGGCTTACACAATTAGTTACAAGGTCATTGCTTACAGAGTACAGATTTTTCTATTAGGGCGAGGTTTACAAAGTACAAGCTTTTTACTCTATAGACAGGAATGAGTCTTGAAACAGCGTTTTCATAATAACTTTTCATATTTTTGAGGCCTACTAATACAGAGGTTTATTTCTGGACTCTTTCCATTCCTTTGGTTGTCTATCCTTAACTGATGCCTTAATTACTGGGTTTTAGAGTAACCCTCTCTTTTTTTTAAGAGAGGGGGTCTTGCTATGTTGCCCAGGCTGGCCTTGAACTCCTGGGCTCAAGCGATCTTCTGGCCTCCACCTCTCCAAGTGCTGAGATTATAGGTGTGGGCCACTGCACCCAACTATAGTACCTCTTGATATTTAGTAGTGTTAAGTCCTCCAACTTTGTTCTTCCTTAGGATTGTCTGTTCTAGGTGCTTTGCTTTTCCACATAGATTCTAGAAACAGCTTGTCGATTTCCACAAACTAAAATTAAACGAAAACCTGCTGGGATTTTCATTGGGATATTATTGAATCTACAGATCAATTTGGGTAAGTAAGCCAGGCATGGTGGCTCACGCCTGTGATCCTAGCACTCTGGGAGGCCAAGGCAGGAGGATCGCTTGAGGTCAGGAGTTTGAGACTAGCCTGAGCAAGAGCGAGACCCCCATCTCTACTAAAATTAGAAAAATTAGCTGGGCATGGTGGCACACACCTGTAGTCCCAGCTACTTGGGACGCTGAGGCAAGAGGATTGCTTGAGCCCAGGATTTTGAGGTTGCCGTGAGCTAGGCTGACGCTACGGAACTCTAACCCCTCCCCCACAAAAAAACCCCAAAAAAACAACTTGGGTAAGTTTGTTGTCTTTATAATACTGTGTTTTCCAAGCCATGGTCCACTTACACTTCTGATTATGGATGATTTGGGTATCTATGTACTATCTTCTGTTTGTATTCTCTGTTCTGTTTGTTTGGTTTCTTTTTCTCCTCCTTTTTGGTTTTTGGGTTTTTTTCCCTCCCTTTTTTCTCCTCTACTTGTGTGGAAGTTATATACTGTATTAAGTCTTTTAGTGGTTCTCTAGAAGCTATAATGTACATATTTAACTAATCAAAGTCCAAATTAATCAATGCAAATATCCTCCTCCCAGACAGTTTAAGACTTGGGGACACTTTAATACTATTTGACCCCTTTCCCCTAATTTATATGCTATCATGGTAATGTCTTTTAATTCTTTTTTTTTCAACTGCATAAACATTTTATATAGTCAATGGTCACGTGTTTACCCAAATATTAACCTCTTTCCTTCAGTTCATTGCTTATTGCATCTCAAACCTTTCAATTAGGATTAACTTCCTCTTGCCTGAAGTGCATCCTTTAGTGAATTCTGCTGATGGTAAACTCTTTCAATTTTTGTCTGAAAATGCCCCTATTTCTCCTGCATTCTTTTTTAAATTTTAAAACAATAAGGCTGGATGAGGTTGCTCACACCCGCAATCCCAGCACTTTGGGAGGCTGAAGCAGGAGGATTGCTTGATGCCAAGAATTTGAGACCAGCCTAGGCAACATAGCAAGACCCTGTCTCTACAAAAAAAAATTTAGCCAAGTGTGGGTGGTGCATGCCTGTAGTCCTAGCTGGGATGGGGAGATCAGTTCAGCGCAGGAGTTCAATGCTGCAATGAGCTATGACTATGCCACTGCACTCCAGGCTGGGCAACAGAGCAAAACCCCATCTCTAAAAAAATAAATAAAATAAAAAGTTATAGTAATGTGCATTATTATCTAGATCTTACCATAGTCTTCGTTGTATTTCTCCTCACCTGGCACGTTGCATATTTTTTAGTTATTGTTATCTGTCTTCCCAATTCTGTTAGAATGTGAGTTCCACAAAAGTAAGAATTTTGTTCATTTTTATTAACTGAACCTAGAACAGTGTTGGTCATATAGTATGTACTTAACAAATATTTTTTAAATGATGAAAAAAAGCTTACAGAAAAGTTGAAAATATAGTATTAAATTTTTTCCCCTCAATCATTTGAGAATAAGTTGCCAAATGATACTCCATAACCCCTGAATATCAGATTGTATTTTCTTACAAAAAAGGACAAAATATAACCATTATAATCATGAAATCAATATTGGCACACAGCTGACATCTAATCGTCAGGCCCCATTCAGAGGCTGCCAATTTTCCTAGTTCGCTATAGCAAAAGGGTCTAGGTCAAAATCACTCATTGTACTTTTCTGTGTAGTCTGTTCTGTCTCCTGCAGTCCTCAGCCTTTCCTTGGCTTCCATGTCCTTGATGCATTTAAACATTATGGGCCATGGCTGGGCGTGATGGCTCATGACTGTAATCCTGGCACTTTGGGAGGCCGAGGTTGGGGGGGGATTGCTTGAGGTCAGGAGTTCGAGACCAGCCTGAGCAAGAGCAAGACTCTGTCTCTAAAAAAATAAAATAAAATAAAACATAAAAATAAAATAAAGAACATTATGGGCCAGCTGTTTTTGTAGGATGCGGCTGAGTTTGGGTCCGACGTTTCCTCATGATGAGATTCAGGTCACTGCGTCCTATCTGGAGGCTACTGACTCTGGTTTGCTCCACACTGATGACGTCCTCTTCCAACACTTCGGTGGAACGGTGCTGCCAAGCTTCCCCACTCTGAAGTCACCATTTACCCCTGTGTCATAATATCTCATGGCAGAGTAGCTTAGAACTAAGTAATTATGCCATTCCTCACCAAACTTTCCATTTATCCATCTATTTATTTACATTAACATGGGCTCATGGTTTCTTAGTTTATTCAATGGGCTGTAATGTTGCTATCATTATTTTTTGTGACACTCAAAATTTCTCCATTTGACCAGTGGAATCCCCTTTAAGCAAGCTTTTGTGTCCCTTCGACATGTCCCCATTATTCTTTGAGCTCTCTTCCTTGTTTTCTGGTACAAGATATATCAGGTTCATCCGGGACTTTTCCTGCTCAAGTCCTGGAATCAGCTGCTTCTCCAAGGAGCTTTGTTGCTTTTGGTGGACAATGGTGTTTAGAAGCTATGATCTTGGCCCCAGCTGTGTTCACAGCTGCTGGAGTGTCTCTGCTTCTCCCTGTTGGCTCCATCCTCCAGCATCCTCTGGTGGCCAAGATGCCCCTGAAGTTGCAGGTTCTCATAGGCCACAGTGGCCTTGGCCTCAGAAGGAGAAAGACCCTCTCTCCTTTGGTGTTTCCCTCCATCCCCTTAAATAAAGGGCTTTATTGGCCCTGCTCAGCCAGTTTTCCATCCCCAGGCCGATCACTGTGGTGGAGCATGGGGCACTTGTTAGCTAAGCTTGGGTTCCGGGCCCACTCTTATTTGAAGAAGTGGTGGTGGGTGGGTACTGCAGAATTCAGCCTCACCGAGCTACATGGGAAGGGTAGCCTACGGAAAGACGGGGCTCTTTCACCAAAAGAAACATGCAGAGATTTGGGGGAGACGAAATAGCAGATACCTACTGTAACGAATAGGTGTTTAGCTATAAATTGTGAGAACTGCCAAAAGAGAACAGGATGGCGGACAAGAGCACCACGGGGGGCGGGAGGTGGGGGCTTCTTAGCCCAAGGGTGAGGAGCAGAGGGCCAGCAGAGGCCGGAGCAGGGGAGCCCAGCGGGGCAAGGAGGTGTTGGCAGGGAGCGCCCGGAAGAGGAAACCGCCTGTGTGCAGCCCTGAGGGGAAGCTTGCCCAAGGTTGGAAGGAGGCCAGCACGGCCAGAGGGTCATGAGCGAGGGGACAGCAGTGGGACACAGGGCTGAGCCTTGAAGGTCCTGGGCCCCAGCAAGCACGCCAGCTTTGCACTCAAGGAAACGGCACCACTGAAGGGTTTTAGGGAGGGGAGGTGACATGGACTGATTTACACTTTTAAAAGCTCAACGTGGCTGCTGGGGGTGGCGGGTAAGGATTGGAGGGCCCAGAGGGGGAGGGGAGATGGGACTGTGGCACCCCAGGTACACCAGATCTTCATCTTCTCCCACCCACTTCTCTCCTCACTGAAACTGACATGCAGGAGCCCTCGATGATGTGACTTCATGCCTGGTGCACGTGCCAGAGAAGAGAGAGGACGGCAACAAAATGGCTCCGGTATGCCTCCTGCCCAATCCCCGCTGACTGTCCTGGGACACCCCCGCTCCGCCCACCCTGCAGCCCCAGTGTCTCGGCAGTCCTTGTCACTGCCCGGCTCTTCCTTTCTCAGTAGGTGTCACCGTCTATGCACCATGGGCTTCGCTTATTCATCTGGTTTCTTGTTCATCCCCCCACCCCCACTCCGTGAGAACACATCCTCTGTTAACTGCGGATTTGGTTTGTTTTTCACAGCTGTATCCTCAGCATCTAGGCAGTGCCTGGCCAGTAGTAGATGCTCAATGAAAGTTTTTTATACAACTGAATGAATTGTAGGAGGGGCTCTGAGAGGGGCAGAAAGGCTAGAAATGGCCTTTTTCAGGACACAGGTAGGCCTGACCCGGGTCTGGGCCATGCGGCAGGCTCGGGAGGCCAGAGAAGGCCAGTCCAGCAGGTGAAGGACAGCATCGGCAGCATTCAGTGAGGGCCAGTGGGGGCAGCCTGAACAAGGTGGCGGACATCAGTGTGACACACAGACCGTGGGCAACACTGGTTGCTGGGCAGTCTGGGGGCAGGGGCTCCACCTCTGTTAGAGCCGGTTCCCCTCGGCCCCAGGAACAGAGAGGCAGAGTCACCAAGGCTGCAAATGGCAAAGGAGTCTATTGGCTAGCTCGAGCTAGGGTCCAAGTCCCAGAGCACCAACGCAGTGGCCTCTTCTAAGGGCTAGGACCCCGCCTTGGGGTAGAGGTTAAGCTTTTATACCTTTTTCTGTTTTACACACGACACACAGGTTTCACACGACACTCTGGGCACACCTCCCCCCTCCCCTCCTTAGTTCATTTGTTCCTTTAAAAGTGGCTGATCGTGTTGGCTCCTGATTGGTTCCTTTAAAAGTGGCTCCAAGCCTCGGGATTTTCGCGCCGGCGCCAATTGTGGTCAGTGTCATTTCGGGGGGAAAGGGCGGTGTCGTTTCGGGAAAACCGAAACTTAGGCCTCCTCCAGGAAGTTCAGCCTGTCATGGAGTCACTCTTGCTCTTATTCCTGTTTCTGATTAACTACATTTAACAAACAACTAAAAGCAAGCACGGTCACAGAAGCAAATAGCATCAGTTAGAATCAGAGAGAGCACATTTTTCTCTAATCTCTAATCTTAAACAATTCGTCTCACACAAAGCAAAGTATATTCTCCTACTATCAATTCCTGTTTTTCACCTCGGCCAAGACACCCTGCTCCCAGCTGCGTCAGAGACAAGCCCAGGCCCTGGGCAGTGCACGGTGGGGTGTGGGGAGAGGGTGACGGGACTACGAAGAGGCCCTGAACTTTGGGACATTTGTCCTCATCCCACGGCTTTCTTCTAGTTGTCCACCGTGCTCTCGGCACACTGACCGTTTTCTGTCTCTCACACACACCAAACTCGTTCCTGCCTCGGCCTTTGGCCTTGCTTCCTCTGCCAGGAAGGTTCTTCTCAATGATAAAATGGGCACGATGAAGTTGAAGCGAGGCCCGTGTTAGGTAACATATGCACAGCCCTGAGCATGGTGTCTTCACAAAGAAGGTTTTTTTATTGCTGTTGTAGAGGCCAAGCAAAAACTTCCCCTTCGTCTGCTGAAAAATCAATTCACAAAAGGCCGGTTAATTGAAGAAAAGGCATACAAACTTACTAGTATGTACACAGAGAGAAGCACAGAGTGGCTACCCAACCCTCAACGGGGCCCAGAAGCTTGTATACTGTCTTGGGGTCACAGAGTGGGGCCTGGATCCTGGCAAAGCAGGTTGGGGGCAGGGGGAGAAGAAGAAGTCCGTTTAGGGGCAACAAAGGATTGCTAGGGAGAATGAACGCATCTGGGAACAGAGATTATCTTGTAAATAGTTTTCTGTGACAGTGAAAGGGTCTGTCCAGGTGTGGTTACATTCTTGGTCTTACAGGGAGGGGAAGAAAAAACAATGTTCTCCTTGGTAGGTCTGGATCTTAGGCAGATAAAAGAACTTCAATTTGATCCTGTGCTTTGGGAGAAACGGTGGTGGTGGGGTCTGAGAGAGCTTGAGGCTTCTTCCGTTCAGCATGCTAAGGCACCATATTTTGGGGTGTTGGTTTCTGAGCCCCAACACTGTTATTCAGCAATGTTATTGAGCCCTTACTCTGTGCTAGGCACTAGGGGCACAGTAGTGACCTTACATTCTAGTTTGGGGAGACAGTTCTTCACACAGCTAGCTCTTGTCATTTAAGGCTCAGCCCAAATGTTAACTCCTCCGAGAGGCCTTCTCTGACCATTTGGTCTAAATTAGCTATCCCACCACCATCACTCTTGCAGTTTAAAGCTACCAATTGCTGTTTAACAAATCACCCTGAACTTAGTGGTTGAAAAGTTCACTTTGGCTGCTGGGGGAATAAGGATCAGAGGGGCCCAATTTCTCATGATTCTGAGTCTGACTGGGCTTAGCTGGGTGCCTCCTCTGCTCCACACGGTATAGACAGAGATTTCTCAGGGGGGACTGGAACATTCAAGATGACCCTTTATCTTCCAAGACTTCTCTCCACGTGGTCTCTTATCATTCCATAGGCTAGCACAGTGGCTGGGTTCCAGGGGGGAAATCGAAGCTTCCAGTTCCCTTAAGAGCTAAGCGGGAACTGGCGTAGCATCATTTCCACAGCATTCTGTTTTTCAAAGCAAATTGTAAGACGAACCAAGATTGAAGGAGAATCTGTCCTTTTGGTAGGAAAAGTAGAAAACTGGGGCCATCTCCATCCCACCACACTTTCCATCAGGTTAACTTGTTTTTCCTTCTTTATTATAGGAAGTTAATTTACTCATTTCGTAGTTATCTTTTTTTTGCCTTCTTTGCCTAAGATAATGAGAACTGAGAGATTAAGTGGACCTTAGGAAACGTGTTCCTTCTCTCAGGTAGCAGAATGCTTTAACCGACTCGTGTGTACTCGTGGGCCCTTCAGTGTTGCTAGTGGTGGGATCTCAGGTTGAGGTGTTGAGGCCCTTTCTGTCCCCCTCAGCTGACTGGATGTGCAGACCCTCATAGTGGGTCCCCCTCAAACGCTGGCCTTCAGGATTGTCCGCCCCCCACACACAATTTTCCCCAATCTTTCCCCTGTCCCGGGTTCCCCTGGTGGGCACTTCTCATTTCCCTTGAGCGGATGCTGGCTGGCTTGCCTGCAGGTGTCGGGTGGCCTGCAGGTATGGGCGACCCCCGGGGGCCGGGTTCAGCTGGGCTCTCACCCTGTGCTTTTGCCCTCCGCTACTGCCGTAAGGTCGGGAACATCATCACCCTCTGGAGGAGCCAGGATCTGCTGGAAGTGGAAGGAGAGAAGAAGACCAAGATGAAGAAGATGATGGTGCGGGATCCACATGTGGGTCTGTGGCAGTGGGGTGGAGGGGGCAGAATTCCTGAGTCCACCCACTGACGAGATGGGGGCTGGGGAGTTGAGGTGGGAGGAGGGCAGGATGAGGAGGCAGTGTGCCTGGACTTGAGTCTGAGCTCCACCTCTAACTGCCCTCCACCTACCCTGAGGGAGTTGGGCAAGTTATTTCCCTTCCAGCCTTGCTCTTCTTATCTCACAAATGGGTATGATAACAGCTGTGTCTCTGGCTTGTGGGGAGGACCCAACCCAACGGTTAGTCTACAGTAAAGCCATGTGCACCTAGCAGCAGGTATTATTACTCAATACATTCTTTCCTGCGGGCAATGTCAGAGGGTTTCCTTATGATTTTGCTAAATACAGTTACCTCTCAGTTATCCACCAGAATGGATTGGGCAGGGAAACCACTGAAGTTTCTGAAATTATATTTGGCTTTGCATCCCTTAAAGAGACAAAAAAAAAAAAAAATCCTTCATCCACTGTGTGTAGGTACTAGATCAAAAGTGCAAAGTAGGTTGGGCGTGGTGGCTCACACCTGTAATCCTAGCACTCTGGGAGGCCAATGTGGGAGGATCGCTTGAGCTTAGGAGTTCGAGACCAGCCTGAGCCCTGAGCAAGAGCGAGATCCTGTCTGTACTGAAAGTACAAAAAATTAGCCAGGTATGGTGGCGTGCACCTGTAGTTTCAGCTACTTGGGAGGCTGAGGCAGGAGGATTGCTTGAGCCCAGGCATTTGGGGTTATAGTGAACTATGATGATGCCACTGCACTGTAGCTGGGGCGACAGAGTGAACCTCTGTCTCAAAAAAAAAAAAAAAAAATGAGAAGTAATTAGAAGGACATTTTAAAGCAATTTAACCAGGCAGCTTTCAAGGGCCACACAGGGTGGTTTTTGCTTTGGGCCGGTTGCATGGTTCCAGTATGCCTCCTGCCATGAGGTTGCTATGGAAACAATTCCTGCTGAGCCCTACGTGTGGGCTGCAGCTGGTCAGGGTGTGGGGTGTTTTTGGTGGCCTTGAACTGAGGGCTCAGGACAGGGTTTGAGCAGTGAGCGGGCTCTCCGGCCCCCGGAGGCCAGGTAGAACGTGGGGCTAATGAGGGAGCTCTACCTCGGCCGAGGCCTGCACCCTACGAGGAGTGGCCTCGGCCCTGGTGGTCTCCCGTGGCCCTGCCCCTCATTGGCCCCTCTGTGGTCCTCTGTCCAGAGGCAGATCCAGGAGGAGCCGCTGGATTCCCTCTCAAGCTCTGTCCGCCGGCAGGCCATGGAGACCCTGACCCAGCTGAGGTATCCTCGGCCCTCTCTCTGCTCCCCCACCCTGCAGCCCCTCTCCCCCTCTCCCTCTGCCACCACCTTGGGGCCTCTCGGCTGCACCCCGGCCCTGCTCCTGTGCCTCCTCCCCAGCCTTGCCCAGTCCCAACCGGGGCCATCTGACCCCCACACCCCTTCCCGGCCCCCACCTCATCTCGTCCTTCTGAGGGTCTAAATATCAGGCTGATGAGCCTGAGCCAGGCGCCCCATCCCAGCCTGCGTCCTTAGCTGCACGCCGCCCCCCACTCATCCCTCTGCTTCCCCCGCTCCACAGTCACACGCAGCCCACGCTGGGCGTGCAGGAGAGGTCAGAGCTGGTGAGCACGTGCGTGCGGAGTGTGTTCTCCCTGCCCTCTGTGCAGGCCATGCAGGAGAAGGACGAGGCCAAGGCTGAGGTCGTCCAGGTGAGGTGGGGGCCCCACTGGGGGTCCTCAGGGCAGATGTTCTGGGGGCAGATATGAATCTTCACCCTTCTACTCATTAGTTGCACGGCCTTGGGCAGTTTAACTCACCTCTCCTGGCCTGAGTAGGCACTCAGTAAATGTTTGGTGAATGAACGAATCTTTGGAATAAAGGCGCCCCTGTCTGGAGGGTCCTGCCCACTCTGGGCCCTGCTCTATGAGAGGGATGTGGGCCAGGATTGGGAGGGGCCCGGCGGAGGCCTGAGCCACAACGAAGACAGACTGGAGGGAACTGGGGCTGAGGCCTGGAGAAGCGGAGCCTCAAGGGGCTCATGCGAACATCTTCACACCTCTGCAGGTGTTCCCGGGAGGAGGGGAGGTGACGCTTAGTGCAGGATGAGGGGAGAGCCGGGTCGGTGTGGAAGGTTTAGGCGGAGGGGTTTCAGCTCGGGGTGAGGCACATTCATTTATCCTTTAATTCAGGAAATATTAACTGAGTACCTACTCCATGCCGATCTCAGTATGGGAGCCTTACAGCAGGGGCACGGGTGGGGGAGGTGGATGCTATCGAAGAATCATACAAGTAAATGCAAAATCACGCCAGTGGTAAATGCTACAAGCAAGAAGTACTCGTGCCATAAAGAGCCTGGAATGGGGGGACATGGCCTAGATGGGGGTCAGGTCGTGATTCTGGAACTGAGAGGTTAAAGAAGAGCTAATTAGCTGAAGGGAGTGGCAGAAGGAAAAGCATTCCAGGCAGGGGGAACAGCCTGAGCAGAGGCCTGTGGACAAAGGCAGCATGGTGACTGCAAGGATGACACGGAGGCATGTGGCTGCAGCCCAGGTGGAGGCAAGAGCCCTGGAAGTGAGGCTGGAGGGTGGTGGGGGCCAGATCATGCCACGTGGGCGGCACGAGCGCTTTGTGTCCAGAGGTGGTGCCCTGAGAGAAGAGCCAGAGGAAAGGCAAGGGAATCCCTGCTTGGTGGGAAGAGCAGGCAGCCCTCATGTACTACCAGGCCTGGCCAGCAGAGGCCAGTGCTGCACAGTAATCAGGGCTGCTGGGAGGGAAGGAGGAGGCAGTTGGTGAGGGAGGCTTGCTTGGTGGTTGTGGTGTAACCCCAAGGACCACTGGCTCCAGGGTGTGTGCAGATTTAGGAAGCCTGGACAATGAAAACCTGGGAGGCAGACTTGGGGAGCTGACAGGAGGAGGGGAAGGTCTTCCCAGAGTAGCTCAAACCCCCTGCTCAGCCTTGAGTATGTGTGAAGCCTGCACCCACCCGGAAGACAATTCTAGGACTGTGGTGTGGCCAATGCATGAGGAATCCGGGCAGAGGAGAGATGGCTTCCTTAAGGGACAACTTGGAAAACCTATCTAGCTCTGGGAGTTGCAATTCAAAAAAGAATCAGAGCACTTCCTCAGAGACAGTAAAAGGAAGAGTGACCTTCTCATTTATCTAGCTCTTGTAATTCTAGAGCATTTTTCCATCCATCCTCTCGTTTGCCCCTCATGGCTTGAAACTTCATTGTTGTGTGACCTTGGACAAGTGTTCCCTCCTTTGTAAAGTGAGAAAAACAATTTGAGGACAAAGCGATATGGTTGTGCGAATCACCAGGTACTCATCTGGCACGTGGCAGATTCTGAGTAAATGCCGAGTCTCTGCCTCCTCCCCCTTTAAGGCAGGATGTGCAGGGATAATAACTACCAATTTGTCAATAAGAAAACTGTAGCCGATGGAGGGGAAGTACCATCAAGTTAGTCTCAGAGGTGGGACCAGAAAGCAGCTCTTCCCCCACCCAACCCACGGCAGGGGCTCACTGGGGCCGGTGTCCGCTCCAGAGGTCTGCTAGTGACTTGCTCGTCCTCCGTCCACAGACGCTTTACCGTCAGACGCTGGATGCCCTGCAGACACTGCTCAAGGCCCTCTTTGTCGAGGACCCCACTCCCGCTGGGCTGAAGAGCGTCTTGGAGGTGTGGGGGCAGGGGGCGGGGCGGGGGAGAGGGGAAGGGTGGAGGGGAAGAAAAATTGGCTCAGGAGCAGTGGAAGCTGGACCCAGGAGTGATTTGACTTCAGGATGTCATCGTGTGCCAGGGTTCTGCCTCCCTGTCCCTCTTGCAGGCCCTGTCCCACGCTCCTGCCTCTTCCCTCTTTCGCTATACCCCCGCTCTAGACACAGCTGCCCCACGTGGTTATAGCTGCCCCTATGTCTTGCTCTCTGCATTCTTGTCACTGTGTCTCTCTTCTAGCCTTTCCCCTCTCTCCTTACTGACTTCCTTCTTTTCTCTAGTCTGTCAGTCCTATTCTCAGCTGCTGGACCCCGTCTCTCCCTAAGCCCCAAGAAGGGGAGGAGGACTGTGGCGCATGGCCTTTATGCCCTCTCTGGAAGCTTCCTGCTGGTTGGTGAAGGCTGGCCTGCCCACCTGGCAGCAGGGACTGGCATCTAACCTGGAGCACTGAGTCTTGCCCTTGTCCCTGCAGCCCCTGGGGCCCTGGATGAACTCTGGGAAGGCCCATGAGCGAGCACGGGCTGTGAACAGCAATGTTTCTGTGTTGAACCACACGCTTCTGACTCTGCCTTTCCTTGTGAGTGGCCCCTGGGAGGGGTGGACGCTCTTAGGGAGACTCTTCCCAGCTCTGACGGAGCCTGTGCATCTGTTGAGGGATTCCTAGGTGGCCCTTGCTACCCTCAGAGGGCTCTGTTATCAGGGCCAGACCACCCAGCTCTGTCCACCATTTACTGTAGAGCATTGTTAAACCCGTAAGACTCAATCCCTAAGATTATGACACAAACAGATGTCCTCGGGGTTCCCGGCACTGGGGCTCCTGCTGGGGAGGCTCATCCTTCGCGTCGGGGATCCTGATGAGGAGATTGGCCGGGAGGCTCTGGACGGCATCACCATCCTCTACACTATCCTGGAGCTGCAAAAACGTAAGCCCATTGGCGTGCCTCCGAAGCAGGGCTACTGAGCAGCTGCTCAGCCTAGAAATCAGGTGGAGCCTTGGCAACAAGGCACTGGTGCGAGATGGGGGAACCATCGCAGGGTCAGATGGGGACTGTGGAAACGGGCGTGAAGCCTAAGTCCCCACACATGGCACAAACAAACCTATTTTGATTTAAGCATCTTTCTATCTGAGATTCTCCTCATCCTTCCAAGCTTAATTTGTGACTGTCATTTTCACATTCCCATAACACCACGTCAACCCTGATGTTTTCTTGTCTGTCTTCCCCACTAGATTATAATCCCACGAGAGTGGGGCAGGTCTGTGTTGTCACTGCTGCATTCCCGAGGTCTAACCCTGGGCCTGGTACATGGTGGGTGCTCAGCGAATATCTGTTGAATGAATGAACAAAGAACAGGTCCGATCTTAGAATGTGGAGCAGCTAAAGCCTGTAGGTGGGAGAACATTCCTAGATTCAGCTTCAGTGGGCTGGTGATGTGGTGTGGGCTGACACAGTATCCCGCTGGCGCTGTACCTAGAGGGGCACGGTGTCAGCTGTCACTTGCCTCCTTCCTGTCTCCATGGTCCCAACTCTGCCCCAAACCAGGGGACCTTGGAATGTGCTTTAAACGCCCCTGGTTCTGGAGGCAGAGTGACCTGGTGTAAGACCTGGCTGTAGCCCTTCTTAGCGGCGTGACCTCAGGCAAGTACTTAGCTTGTGTAGGCCTAGATTTCCTCATCTACAAAAAGGGTACACTTAGATGTAACTCACAAGCTTTTTGAAAGATTAAATGAGATATTTTATAAGCGTATATGTAAAGAGATGAGCTCATTCTAGGCGCTTGTCAAACAGAGTTTCTTTTCCCCATCCCTCCGGGCTTTTGGGATCTGTGGTGTCTCCATTCTTCTTGATCTCTGGCATTTGGGACTAAGATTTGGTCTCTGGGAGATTTCCCCCACTGCTCACGGCTACTCATGCCCCCTGCGTGATGGGCAAAGGTGGTATAAGCCACGTTAATGGTTGGCGTTAGGGGTAGGAATAGTATAGACCAGATTAGCATGACCAGATTCGCGTGGCCAGATTTAGCAAATAACAAATGTAGGGCACCAGCTAAATTTGAATTTCAGATAAATGATGAATAATTTTTAGTGTATTTGAGATATACTTTCACTAAAAATTATTTGTTTATCCAAAATTTGAATTTAATTGCATATCCTGCATTTTGCCTGGTAGCCCGAGGCCAAACCCACAGTCTTAGGTTCTAATCTCAGGGGGGAAGTGGTTTGTCGGGGCCCTGTCGCTGCAGGAAGCGGCAGAGCTAGGATGCAAACCCGGGCCTGCCTGACTCCAGGTCTCAAGCTCCTTGCTTTTACAACAGCACGCACACTTGGTCCGTGGGATCACTCTGCCTCAATGACCCTCTCTTGAGCCCATGCCTTGCATATCTTGAGGAGATCCCAGTAGCACCCAGGCCAGGCCACAGGAAGGGCTCAGGAAGTGTGCCTGAAATGTGTTTCCTTCAACAGAAAGCATGGAGCCACTATGTGCCGGGCCCCATTCTAGGCTCGGGGGACCTAGCAGTGGAGAAAAGAGATTAAGTAAATAATCCTCCCTTGGTGAGATTCCGCTCTGGTTGTCAGAGATAGAAAATGAACAAAAACAAACGAGTAATTCATATAGCAAGTCAGACGATGATAAGTGCTTAGGAAAATAAGTAGGAGAGGATTGGGACTGCCAGGGTAGGAGGATTGCCGTTCAAAAGAGGTGTTGCCACACATCCACCAGAAGGGCAAAGTGAAACAGACAATGGTGTGTGCTGGCGAGGGCTGGCGTGGAGCAGCCGGGATGCTCGCGCACGGCTGGCGCGGGCACGATCGGCTCCCCATTGCGGAAATCCGCTTGGCGCTATCTCCTGAAGCTGAACCTCTCCCTACCCTATGACCCAGCAATTCCGCTCCTACGTGTAAACCTAGCGAATGTGTGGTTATGATCACCAAAAGACGCGGTAGGACATTCATAGCAGCACGATGCTTAATAGCTGGCAACAACCCAAATGTCCATAAAAGTAAAAACACAAATAACTGTAGTATATTCATACCATGGAAAATTACACAGCACCGAGAATGAATGAGAGAACTAATGCTGTGTGCGACTGCGTGGGTGACCCTCATCCACGTCATGTTAACCGGGAGGCACCAGACACAAAGGGTAACACAGGACACGGGTCCATTTATACAAAGCTCAAAAGCAAGGAAATCTATCAGGGGTTCAGAAATCAGAATGGTGGCTCCCTGGGGTTGGGGAGGGGTGGTGCCTGAAAGGGTCACACGGAAGGGGTTCCTGGCGGGCTGATCAGGTTCCACTTCCTGACCTGGTGCTGTACGTGGGTGTGTTCGCTATGTGAACATTTATCAAGCTGGTTACTTATGATTTGGGTACTTCCTACATCTATGTTTAACAAAAAGTTTTTAAAAAATAGGGCGTTTGGGCCTCACTGAGAATGTTCTCTTCTTGCAGGAGCCAGAGATAAGGAAGAGACCAACAAGAAGGAGCTGTATGAGAGCAACAAGCGTTTCCTGGGGCCCTACAACCCCGTCAGCCCGTGCCAGAACATCCTGCGCGTGATTGCGGTGACTGCTGCCCCTCAGCCCAGGGCCTTCCAGGGCCGGGGAGGGGACAAGGGGCAGTGCCGTCTATCCCCAAAAGCCTTCTCCTTCCTTCTAGCTTTCCAAGCTGGCTCAAGGCCTCTTTGCAGGAAGGTTTCCTGGTCACACCAGCCTATCCTGAGTGCCTGTCCTCCTCTGGTCTGTGTCACAGTGCTGGCCTTCACTTCCTTCTCCCTGATGCATGTCCCCCAGTTATGGGTGTAGGGACCATGTTGCCCCAACTTGGCTCCCCCGCCAACCTCTGCACATGGCAGTCAGGCAGTGCGTGTGCCTCTGTGTGAGGCTCCTGCTGGCTCCTGGTGGCCCGTCAGTGTCATGATCTCTGCCCCTTTGTTTCAGGAATTTGGAGACTTCCTGGGGCCCCAGCAGGTAAAGGACCTGCTGCTGGCAGCCCTGGAAGGGCTGAAAGGCGGCTCAGAGGCTCCAGGAAAGGATTCCAGGGAGATCATGCAGCTGGCCTCAGAGGTCACGCTCAGCTCGGTGCTGGAGTGGTACCGCCACAGGGCGCTGGAGGTGGTAAGGCCTCCTGGGGCAGGGCTGAGCCGTCACTGGGGCCCGGGGGCCCCCCAGGGCTGTTTGTCACTGGGCACAGCTTGCCCATACCCCCTAAGCTCTGGGGCAGGGCAGAGGTGGTGGTGGCTGAGTTCTAGGTGTGCCCACCTTGCGGGTTTCCTCTCTTGCCACCCCTGAGAGAGCTGGCCTGACCTGGTGGGGGCTCGGGGGGGCAGAAGAGAAACTGGCTTCCTCCCAGGGAGGAGCAGGCGCTCCGCTGGCCTCTCCCTCTCTCCCCTTTGCTCTCCTGCACTGCGTCCCCTCCTCTCCCCTGTCCTCCAGCCTGTCCCCCTCCCTTCCCCCTCCCGTCTTCCCACGCCACCCATGCCTCCCTTGGCTTCTCCATTGGGCCGTCGCCTGCTCACGGCTGCCCTGGCTGTGTCCCAGATCCCCGAGATCATGCAGGGCATCTACATACAGCTGAGCCACATCCAGGAGCCACGAGCCCGAGAGGTGGCCCTGCTGCCCGTCTCCCTCCTGGCCAGCTCCTTCATGACCGAGGTTGTGGTGGCCCTGCTCATGTGCCCCCTCCCGCTGGACAGGTACCGAATGACGGGGGTTCCCAGCCGCTACACCTCAGAGGGTTGAGCAGCCCCCATCCCGGGCTAGGACCCCACCCCCACTTCTGCCCAGAGAAGCTGTTGCCCTCCCACATGGCCCCTCTTCCGTGATCTGTGGCACTTACGACAACCACTAGGCACTTTCTGAGCACTGCTGGGTGTCAGCACTAAGCAATAGTATATTCTCTCATTCTCACAAAAGTCCATTCTACAGATGAGGAAACTGAGGCTCAGGGAAAGTTTCTTGCCCTAGGTACTGATTGAGTAAGCAACAGAATAAGGACCCAAACTCAGGTCTGACTGGCTCCAAGCCCAGAGCTCTTTAGTGATGCCATATAAAGGGGGCCTGAATGTCAGTCCTGACTCTGCCTCTGGCTGCTGTGTGGTCTTTGGTAGCCCCCTTGCCCTCTCTGGGCTTTGGTTTTCCCTCATAGGCAAAAGGAGGAAATTAGTCCTGCAATGCCACCCCAGATGAGTGGTGGTGACACAGTAACGCAGCCAGCCGTGCTGAGTGCCTGGTTGGGCCTGGCCGGTGCAGAAGGCTCCTCCACGCTCACTGCCTTCAGGGAGCTCGTGGGCTGATGGGCAGAGGGCACTGTGGTCAGAGGGTGAGCTCGTGGGCAAGAGAGGTCAGTGTGGCTGGCCTCAGCCTCCCAGCCCAGGAAATGCTCCCGCAGCTGCTTTGAATGAATGAAACAGGGCAGTGGGTGATCCACACCTCAGGAGGGTTGTCTGAGTGAACATGTAAAAGAACCGTGCAGAGCTGTGCAGATGGCGTGTGCGCTAATAAGGACAGCTGGTGTCATCCATAGAAACCAACATCAGACGGGACGGTGAGGGCCCAGCTGACAGCATCCCATCCTCCCACCTGCAAGAATTAAGCCCTTTCTGTCTGCACTGCCCACCAGGGGGGTTTCTTCTTGGGTCCACTAAGCAGTCAGACTCACAAGACTGCCAGGGGCCACACCTGACATGAGAGTCACTCAGGATCCAGGACAGGGCAGTGTCCGGCGCTCCTCTTCGCAGGAGTCCTTGCAGCAGCCCCTGCGCAGGCCAGACAGGCAGGACATTTAAGGAAATACCCTCAGGTGTCCAGTCTGCACTCACCTGAGCCCGAAAGCGAGGGCCTCCTTACATCCTGCGCCCTGGGTGCTTCACTTTCCTTACACTGACCTTGGCCCCGAGTCTAGGAGCTGGTCTCTTGGGCCTCCCAGGTAAAAGCTCAGGGGAGAGGAGAGGAGACCCACAGGGCGGGGGCAGGAGCTGCCCTGACTTAAATGGCGCAGGGACCAGCATTTCTTACAATCGCTGTATCAGCTTCGCTTCCAGGGTTCCCACAGTTACAAGAGTCACTATACCCTGGGAAGCTCAATGCTACAGTGTCCGCATCGGCTCTTATAGTTAATTTGTAGTTCTTCCCAGGCCAGATGCAATTTACCCATCAGGTCATTTTTACCATAAGCAATGTTGCCTAGAAACATAGTTAACGTACTATCTTTATCAGGTTTCCAGGGGAACAGAGCTAGACGGTGAATGGAAGGTCCAAAAGCTCTGATGAAGGGGGAAAGGTTTTGTTAACCCTTCAGCGTACTGTCTGAGCTCTCAACGCCCCACGGTAGAAGTGTCTGCAGGCTGGTGTTTGGCCGGGTTGCGGCTGCTTTTCCCTGCCTGGTGTGCTGTTTTCTAAGGGACAGGAGCGGTGCCCCCTGACAGTATGTGACAAGTGCAAGATCCTAGCCCCAAAGGGCTCAACCGTCTCAATTCTTGCTTCTTGGCTAGAGGAACGAGAACAGGCTTTGGAGACATCAGACTTGGCCACATGCAGCTCATTAGCTGTGTCGTCTTGGACTGGTGATTTCATTTCTCTGGGCCTCAGTTCTGCATCTGTAAAAAGGGAATAAGACCGCCCATCTTGAGGGTCATTGTGAGAATTCAGTGATCTTAAATGTGTTGAATTCTTGTTCACATCTGTATCCCAGAGATTTGCCTAGTGCCAGGTGTACAGCAGATGCTCAGTTAATATTTGCCGAAGTAATGTATTTTATGTAAAGCACCTGGCAAGATGCCTGGGAAATAAGGTTTTAATCCCTGTTAGCCCCCTGCCTCTTGGGGAGTGTTTTTGGGACCGTTCCTTGCTGGCGTGCCCATGGATGCCATTGCATTGGCGTCTTGCCTTCCCCTCCCGAAAGCATCCGGGGTGGGCCCTGCTGCCCTGGCCACCACTAACCCTCCCCACCCCTGACCTCCCAGCAACGGAGCAGAGATGTGGAGGCAGCTGATTCTGCGCAAGCCCAGCTGTGAGGTCCGAGACCTCCTGGATCTGCTCCTGACCAGCCTGAAGGAGAAGCCTGTCACCAAGAAGGGCCAGGCCTCCATTGTGCCCCTAGCGGTGAGGACCAGCCCGCCCGCCCCCATCGCCATCCGCCCCATCCTTCCTCCCCTGCCCTGGTCTGCCCTCTAGCTGCGGGGCCTTGGGCAAGTCTCCGGCTCTGGCTCTCGTTTGTGATGCGCTGGGCAGTAACAGCAGGGCTACCTGTGGCGATTGCACAGCCGGGACAGTGGAAACAGAGCGATTTGGACTCAGAGAACTTAGTGTAAATCCTAGACTCATGGTTTGGCTACCTTACTATTTTGTGACCTGGGTAAGTCCTTTCACCTATGTGAAGCTCAGTCTCTACATATGTAAGTGGAAATAGTAATACCTGCCTCATATGGCAGCTGTGACAGATAAATGAGATGACAATATTCATTCATTCAGGTGACACAGAATCTTTAAGTGCTTCTTGCTGCCAGGCTCAGAGCTTGGCCCTGGGAACATGGCAGGAAAAGGCAGCTTTGACTCAGGGAGCCGGCTGCGCGGGGGACATGGATTTCTCTCTGCCTCTGTCACCACCAGCCTGGTCCACGCCTGCTCCGGTTAACACGCCTGCTCACCTCCCTGTGTCCTCTTGCCCCTCTGATCTGTACTGCAGCCAAAAAAATCTCTGAGACATTCACGTCTCCTGTTCTCAGCCTCCTCAATGGCCTCCCATTGTCCTCAGGGGTGACACAGTGCTCCTGCCTGTGCTGCAGGGCCCTGTATCCCTTGCCTGCCTCACCACACTCCGTGGTCCACTTGCCTGCTATGTTCCAGCCTCACAGGTCTTTGCCAGAACTTCACACATCTGTGCTAGCTTGTCACAGGGCCTTTGCACATGCTGTTTCCTCTACCTAAAATGCTTTCCACTGAGTAACTTCTATTCATCCCTCAGCTTTCAACTCAAGCATCACCTCCTCAGGGAAGCCCTCCCTGATTTCCCTGACCAGGTCAAATCTGTGCATGGTATACTTTGCTTCACATACTTTGTCTTGGAAGAGTTTGCCCCAGTTAGGGTTTGACGATAGTGTGAAGGATCATTTGGTTCATCTGTGAGATACATAGAGATGGTGCCTTTCCTGTTTCGTTCACCATATCTCCAACATCTAGCACACACCTGGAATACAGTAGGCACTCAAAAATTTTTGTTGGACTGATTTATTTAGTCAACAAATGTTTATTGAGCACCTACTATGTGCCAGGCCTACTCATAGGTTCTGGGTATTCAGCGGCAAGACATTCTGGTGGAGGGAAGTAAATAAACAAAGACATAGTGGCTGCAGGAATGAGTGGTACAATATTATCCCATGGACAGAGGATGCTGCTGCTTAGAGATACTCTACGTTTTACCGCAGGTCACACAGGTAGCGCGTGGTGGTGCCAGGACTCAAACCCGAATCTCCTGCCTCCAAATCCTGTGCTTCCCCACTGTGCCACTCTGCCTCTGTCCTGCAACACCCAGTTCCATGCATAAGCCACTAGCACTCATGCCGTCCCTGATTTGGGCATGCATCCAGTTCTGCAATCATGAACGTCAGTGTATTCTTCAGTCGCTCATCTGTGCTTCTCGTTCAGCAAGCGTGGTTTAGCACGGACATAGCCTGGACTCATTTTTATCTTATGTGCCGATGATCAGTTTCAGCAGGTTAGAGCCAGGAGCAGAGCCTATGGCACATCACTAGCGATTTTTCTCTACACCACAGACTGTGTTCTTTGAATGTAGTCATTAGGTTTGGGCTACTGAAAAGTGCAAGGGCTTTGAGTCCAAGAGGCTTGTCTTAGCTCTGCCGCTGCCTCAGTGTGTGACAGTGGTCAATCACTTCCCCTCTCTCACCTTGGTATTTACATCTGTAAAATGGGTAGTGACGACTCCCGCTTTGTTTATCCTGCCCGCTGAGAAGAGGGACATAGTGTATGTGGAGGGCTTCCTAAGTGGTAAAGTACAAGTTAACTGCTGTTCGTTGTTCTCATCCAGCCCACGTTAGGTCACTTATCTCCAAGGGAAGGTGCCAGGGCTTCTTTCACTTCGCAGTTAAAGGCTTTCCTCCTGGCCAGCTGCGTGCAGTCTTAGTGGCACAGCTTGTGACCATTTATTTATAAAGCATTCTCCCCTCCATGCTCTCATCCAATCTCTGCACTCCCGTGTGGCTGGCTGGGTGAGCATCAGTAACCCCGCTTTTCAGAGGAGGAGCTGGAGGCCCCAAGAGAGACCAGGGAGTGGTGGAGCCAGATGAGTCACCAGGTCCTGTGAGCCCCCTCACCCCGCATCGCCCACTTGCTGGTTAGCGAGGACTTGGTGGGCCAGGTGTGAGGGTGGGCCCACGCCAGGGCCAGAGCTGGACTGGCAGGTGGAGAAGTTGCCCCAGGACACCCAGCCCCTTGGGGCAGAGCTGGGACTCGAGCTAGGCTCCTGCTCAAGGCCGGCCACATGGGGAGCGGAGTGGTTTAATGGCCCAGGGTGAAGAGGCCAGCCTGGTGCCCCCTCCCGTTCCGTGCGCCTATGCTGTGAATGAGGAAGAGGCAGAACACATGATGGTTGCCATCTGAAAGCCTGGGTTCAAGGTCCAGTGTTGCCCCCAAGGGGCTGGGTGACCTTGGGCAAGTGGCTTCACCCCTCTGAGTCTGTCTTCTCACTTGCAAAATGAGGTCAATACTCTTTCCCTCTCAGGAGGTGGGAAGGGATCCTTCCGCTTGATTCTTCCCAGATTGCATAAACCTCAACGTGCTGGGCCAAACCCACAGGGCGGACTGTTGTCATTGTTCTGGGGCAGGGCCTCCCCAGGGAGTCAGGGGTCTGGGGTGGGGGGTGAGGATCTGGGCCAGAGAACAGCAAAGGAGCAGTCCAGGGCCCCATCCGGAGTGTAGGGGAGACGGATGGGACATCTCACAGCCTCCCCTCTGCCCCCCAGGCAGCCAGCGGCCTGTGCGAGCTCCTGTCTGTGAACAGCTGTGTGGGCCGCGTGAGGCGCATCTACCCGCAGCTGCTCCTGGCCCTGCTCATTCAGGTCCATTACCACATCGGCCTCAACCTGCCCGGCCACGTGGCTCCTTGCAAGGACGCCAGGAAGGACGCAGAGCCCCCTGCCTTCGTACCTGTGCGGTATGTTCTGCTATCCCTCTTGGCCCCGCTGTCCCTGGCAGTGGGGGGTGGGGGAATCCAGCAAGGGCCCCTCCAATAGTGTTTAGGGCACTCGATCAGTAGGAATTAGCTTTGGGACTAGAGGAGAAAAGCACACTTTTATCAGAGCCAACAATTTGCTCAACAACTCTTTTGGAGCCTCTGCTCTGTGCATCAGACTCCGCGCGGCGCGGACCGCAGGGAAGAATCCGCCCTCCCCCGAGGATCTCGCCGCTTAATTTTCCTCCCTTCTTCCCTAGAGATATTATTTGTATTAGGTTTGTATCCAAGGCCCAGCCATTTTTAAAAATTTCTAATTATTAATTGGAATAGGTAATATAATATACGCACAAGGAATCTGCTTTCCCGCCCTGCCCTGTTACCTTCCCCAAAGACAACCAGACTCTTCCAGAGGTAACCGCAAACATGCAAGGATAAGCACATTTGCTCACATTCTCTATTTTCACATGCCTCACACAGTTACTTTTTTTTTGCTTTTATCACATACTATATCTTGGAGATCATTACGTAGACAGCTGTCTCATTATTTTCAACAGCCGCACAGTATCCCTGTGCACAGGATTCCGGTGTACCGTAATTTATTCAACCGTGCTCTTCCTGATTTAGGTTCATCCCAGCCCTTTGCAATTATAAACAACGCTGCAGTGAGTTTGTTTATATGTCTTTACGCACACATGAGATTTATACGTAGGATGAGTTCCTGAAAGTAAGAGATGCATATCAAAGGGCTTCTGCATTTAAATGTTAAGGTGGCACAGGGATATGAGGTGGGAAAGTACTTGACCGTTGAGTGATGGAGGGTAAAAGAGAGTGGCTCCCACAGCGCCCGATTTGCCAAACTGCCTCCTGCAGAGGGCACCGCCACCAACAGTGTGTGAGAGCACCTATTTCCCCACATCCTCACCAACACAATGTCTTATAAAACATTTTTATCTTTGCCAACCTGGGAGTTGAAAAATGGAATTTTGTGTGGTTTTAGTTTGCATTTCTCTTACCATACGGTTAAGGTTTAAGTGCCATTTGTGTTTCCATTTCTGTGGGCAACTTGCTCTTGTCCTTTGCCCAATTTTATATACAATTGTTGGGGATTTTTCTTATTAATTTGCAAGAGCTCTTTATATATTAAGGAAACGGACTCAGTCTTTTGTATTCCAGTTTGTTGCTTTACTTGCAATTATTTTATGGTGTTTTGCCATTTAGAAACTTTTAATTTTTACATAGTCAATTTATCAGTCTTTTTCTTTGACTCCTATTGTGTGTTATACTCAGAAAAGTGCATCAGAGAGGCAGAGGGCAAGCAGTTGTGTAGTTGGGCTTGAAGCGAGAAGGTCTTGGACTCAAATCCCAGGTTCTTATCTTAGGCTTTTGTCCTTTGGGTACACTGATTTAACCTCTTGGTGGTTGGTTTCCTTACCTGTGAAATGGGTGAGTCCTGTCCCATAGGGGCGTTGTGAGGACCAGACAGGATAGCATCCCAGCACGACGCCACATGCCAATAGTGCCGCCCAGTCCAGCTCCCTCAAGCTTGTAGGTTCTTCCCTGAGAGCATCACCTGTGAGCCAGAAAGTGGATGGGTTCCAGGGAAAACACAAGAGGAAAGGAAAGAAGTGCTGGGGGGAGGAGAAATAGCAAAGTGTACATAGTGGGAAAGTTCTCGACTGTGGAGTGATGAAGGGCATGGCTGCCAACGAGGAGAGCTTGGCCCAGCTGAGGCCCGCGAGGAGGGGCTGGAGGAGAGCCTGGGTGTCCGCCCTCACCTCCATGTCAGAAGTAGCCTGAGAGGCAGGCAAGTGCCAAACCAAAGGGGACCAGAAAAGCCACAAGGTGGTGCCTGGGCGTAGTAGGCTGAATGGTGGCCCCCAAAATATGTGTCCACCCAGAACCTATGACTGTGACTATTTGGAAAAAGGATCTTTGCAGATGTAAATAAGGATCTCAAGAAGAGACCATCCTGGATTAACCAGATGGGCCCTGAATCCAATGCCTAGTGGCCACATAAGAAGAGGAGAAGTGCAGGCACGATGGGGGGCGGGAGCAGGCTGATGAGACACAGGCAGAGAGCGAGTGATGCGGCCACGACCCAACGGGCGCCAGGAGACTCGGGAAGCTGGCAGAGGCAAGGAAGGGTTCTCCTCTAGGACTTTCAGAGGGAGAGTGGCCCACTGACACCTTGATTTCTGATACCTGGCCTCTAGAACTGTGAGAGAATCCATTTCTGTCGTTCTAAGCCACCTGGTTTGTGGTAAGTTGCTCCAGCAGCCACTGGAAATGAATGCCCAGGGGCATGGCGTGGAGGGACTGTGGGTGCCCCAGGCCCCAGCGATGGACGGAAGAGCTCGTCGAGGCCCTCAGCGCACCCAGGTGGTCGCGTCCTCCCAAGAGGCGATGAGTGCCACAGTTAGCTCTGTGGACACCAGCCCTGTCATGCCGGCTTGGGTTTGGAGGGCTGGGGGAAGTCCTGCTGAAATCCACACGACAGATGTGGCCTGGGGGTTGTCCTGTGAAGTCTGTTTCTGTGCCCTGCAGCTCCGAGTCAGAGGTCATTGGCTCCCTGGGCCCAGGGTGGGGACAGAGAATAGGTAGCTCAAGACATCCCTTGCTCCACCCTGCTGAGAAAAACCCTCCAGGAGGTTGAGACTTGCAGAGTGGGTGTTTGGGGACCAAAAGAGCCACCCCACCACGCCCAGCCTTCTTCCCGAGAGTGTTGTTTGGGGCTGTCACCCGTATATCTTTGCAAGTGGGGAGGGGAGCGGGGTGGGGGGGGTCATTTTTGTTAAACTATGGAGCCTGATGGAGACGTGAGGTAAAAGGACAGACGGGACAAACTATGAATGACGTGGTTCTGTGCTGAGAAGCTTCAGCCTAAACATATTAACATATTCATTCCGGTTGCACAAACAAGGGCCGGGAGGGTCTGGCCGAGCTGTGGCTGTCTGGAACCTCTAACACAAGTCGTTCCCTTCCGAGCTACCGAGCTTGATGCTGTCCCCAACCCAGTTCATGAAAAGGTGACCAAAAAAAGTGACCCTGGAGAAGGGGACGCGCGGGGAGGAGAGGGTGGTCAAGTGTAACCGTGAACTGCAGTGGGGCCTGTCACTGACTGCACACGTTTCAAAGAATTGGCACCAAAGGTTGAACGATTCGGGAAGCTCTGGCCTCAGGAGAAGCCTTAATGTTCACACTGGATCGATACTCATTACAAAAGCAAAAACGTGACAAGGCAGAGCGAATTCCTGAGGATTACTTGATTTCCAAAAATGCTTTGTTTTCACTCACGAGAACCACCTGCCCTCAGTACCCCACGAGGCATGTCCGCAAAGTGCTTCACGAGCTCTTTAAGCAAATGTTTAGGTTGTTGGAAAACTTTGTTTCGATGTAAGCTCTGTTCTACACATTGTTGGTTTTAATTTTAGCAAAGGTTCACATCTACGTGAAACTCTCAAACTCTCTGATATGTAGACATAGCTATTTGCGTCTGTGAACGCTTGGAGCGGCGCCAGGCATGCAGGAGGTGCAGTAAACAGCAGAAACAGAAACCTGCAGTGGAAAGTGGATTTTGCTTCTCTCTCCTCTCTTGTTCTCAAAGCTAATTATTATAATATTTATGAAAAGCCACCCTTTGCGGATATACCGAATAGCACTATCTTAACAATTACTTCGGCAGAGAGGAGTTTGTTGGGCGAGGTGGCAGGTGACGGCGGGAGAGGCCTGCCCGGGGTCTGGCGGCCGTGGGGTTTCAGCTGCCGTGTCCCGACAGCTGGGTGGTGAAAGTGGTGAAAACCCTGCTGCTGAAGATGGGCTGCTCTTACGAGGCCACCTTTGTGGAGAACCAGGATGGCTGGGAGCTCATGGGACAGGCGGAGAACCACCACCGAGGAGTGTCCCTGCTGGCAAGGTGCGGCCCGGGGACGCTGGGGGTGGGGGTGAGGGCCGAGGGTGGGTGGAGGAGAGACCTCAGGATCTTCAGACAGACTCGGGTTTGCACCTCCCTCCGGGCAAGGCCCCTTCGCTCAGCCCATCACCTCTTCTCTACGCTGGGAGGTGTTGTCTTCCTCGGCAGGTCGACAACACAGATAACAACACAGATGTGAAAGCTGGTGCTCACTCTTCAGGGTAACTTGGGGTGACGGTTCCTGGCAATTGGATGGCACTTAGGTTATTTACAAAGCACCTTCCCTTACCACGCTATGAATGCAGTTCCCACACTAACACAGATATGGCAGTGTAACCGAGCTCTTAGGAGCGTGGCGTTGGGGACTGTGCGCCTGCATCTGAACCCCAGCTTGCTACTTCCCAGCAGAGTGACAGGGGGCAGGTTACTTCCCCTCTGTGTCCTTCCTCCCTCAGTGGCATGGGGATGATAGTAAGACCCAGCTCTGAGGGCTGGGGTGAGGATTAAATGAAGTGCTTTGAACAGCCCTTGGCACATGGTAAGAGCTCAGCACAGTGAGCTGTTACTGTCATTACAGTCACTGGTGGGTCAGGGATTATTGATACCAATATATATTTTGCACAGGAGCATGCCGAAGTCCAGAGAGGAACAGTCACATACCCGAGGTCACACAGGCAGGAAGTGGCAGAGCTGGGAAATGACCGGCTGACCCAGCACAGAGCTCTTCCCTTGACCACACACATCCTCCCCTGGGATTGGGAATGGGCACCTAGATCTCAACAATGTGACTTTTGCAGGAGAGCCTGCTTCTTAGCCCTAGACCCTGAGTGCTAGGATGGCACTCTCCCCAGGGTTCTTAGGATACACTGTATTTTTTTTCTTTCCTTCCTTCCCTCCTTCCTT